TTATGGATTGATCAATAACATTGCCAAGCTCATGGGGGTGTATCCGTATTTGGCGGAGTAGGCGAACGTACTCGTGAAGGAAATGATCTTTACTTGGAAATGAAAGAAAACTAAAACCACCATGATTCAATAAAACCTTCAATTCAAAGTCCAAAGATTCCCTAAGTAAGAACCCTTGGATGATCACTTATTCAATGAATAGAATAGATATAATGACTTAAAAAAGAAAGTACAAAGAGGCATTTGTCCTTTGTGCATTTACTTTTTTATTTATATAATGGTAGACACTATTATCCACCCACTATCATATAGTTCCTACAATCTTTCTATGCATATTCTCTTAGTCATCATCTAATTTTCTCATTGGTTTAGTAGTTCCTAAGTTAATCAGATCATATAAATCCCTACAATAAAGAAGATCCTCCTTGAGTTAAGCCTAAAACTTGGATTTCCTTTTGATTCTTCAAGCCTATTAACCTTACTTGGGCCTTAAAATTCCTTTGGACAAACTTAGCCTATTCCCAGGAATAATCCCATTTAGGAAAACATTCAAGGATGAAATTACTTTTCTGTTTTGGGCATTCTTCATGGATGCAAGATTGTACCTTTGGAACTAATTATGGGCTATCATCAAGTGAATATACTAAAAGATTAGTGGGAGTAAAATTTGTTTTATTGTCTTATATGTGGATGTCATTTTACTTGCAAGTAATGATAAAAGAATGTCATATGAGGTTAAACAATTTCTCTCTAAAAATATTGATATAGAAGATATGGGTGATGCGTCCTATATTGTAGGCATTAAGATTCATAAAGATAGAAATCGATGTATTTTAGGTTTGTCTCAAGAAATCTATATTAACAAAACTTTAGAGAGATTTTGGATGAAAAATGTTTCATGAAGTATAGCTTCTATTGTGAAGGGTGATAAGTTCAGTTTTAACCAATGCTTGAAGAATAATTTAGAGAGGGAACAAATGAAGAAAATTTCATATGCTTCTATTGTTGGAAACCTAACGTATTCTCAGGTTTGCACAAGACCTGACATTGCATTTGCTATTAGAATCTTAAGAAGATATCAGAATAATCTAGGTATTGACCACTAGAGAGCTACAAATAAAGTTTTGAGATATCTTCAAAGAACAAATGTTTACATGCTTAAGTATAGACGAACTGATAACTTGGAGGTGATTGTCTACTCTGATTCTAACTTCACTAGCAATGTTAATTCATGAAGATTAACATCAAGATACATTTTTATGTTTGCTAGTGGAACTATATCCTAGAGTAGCACTAAGTAGACCTTGATTGTTACTTCCACTATGGAGGCTGAGTTTGTTTTATGTTTTAAAGTATGGTTAAAGAGTTTTATTTATGGGATTAGAATCATTGATTCAATTTCTAGGCCAATGAAAATGAATTGCGACAATTCAGTTGTTGTCTTCTTGGCTAAAAATAACAAATGTGGTAGTTAAAATAAACACATCAACATTAAGTATTTAACCATAAGAGAACGTGTTAAAAATAAAAAAGTGGTCATATAGCATGTTATAACTGAATTGATGATAATTGATCCTTTCACCATTGAAATTTAAGGATCAAGAAATCAAGATAAGACCTGGTTCCACTATTTAAATTTCGTTATGAGAACAAATGTTAATGAAACTCTATTATTTGTGATGTCTCATTTTGGAATTCTTGTGTACATATTTATTTGTTTATTTTAAGAAATATCGTTAAAGTTTAGACCTATAATAAATATAAGGTTTATTCATTAAGTAATAATGGGCAAAATTAAAGACGTAAAATGCATAGTGATATGTGGAAGATAATACTCATTTTTTAGAGGATTTATCGCCAGGATTCATATATTTTCCTTCTTTTCTTAGGAGAATAGATTCATAACATTTGAGTATTATTAATGAAATATATGGACCAAGCAGGAGAATGTAAGTTATTTTTCCTTTTATGGTCTGTGTAAGTAACTCAAATCCATAAATATTTCATTAAGTACTTTCGTTACATTTCCTTAATGAGAAAAATATTATACAATTAAGTATTTCCATTACAGTTTTAATGACGAGACGTTACAAAATTGAATCGCCCATTAATTATACATAATGTTTTTTATGGAAAAACGTCTATAAGTAAAAGTGGTGTTTGTTGGGTCCCTAAGCATAGAAAATCGTCTTCAGTACATTGCTCTATCGTGTGAAGTTCTTAAGTGCATTGAAAGAATCCGATATAGAGAGGAAAAACAGGCCAACTATTCAAAAGTAATGGTGAGACGTATTTATCGATCTTATGCTTATGCTAAATATCACTATAATTTTGTCATTTAAATATGTTAGAATGTTTAGATGACTAACAAACGTGTCTTTTATTATAAAATGTGTTATCCCTAATATCATAGGAAAGTACATTATGTATCCAAGTAGCCATGATATCACTACACCGCGTTCAATGTTTCCTTTGTGGATTTGTTGGATCTTTTGGTTCTACTAGGGCTCCATATATGAAACTTAGTTTGTTTTGTATGCTCAACGCATGTTGCATGGATCTTGCTCAAGTGTAGTAATTGATTCCATCAAACAACTAATAGACTAATACTACGATTAAGTTTAAAGGTTTGATGGATCTAGATTCATCTTTTCTAGAGTCCTAGGGTTTTGATATGTGTTGGTTTTGTACGAAATTAGACTTTCAATTGCTAACATGCTTTTGAGAGTTCTGACTTTTCAAACTCTTTTTTTTTATTTTTGGTTTAGATCATCAATCAATCGAAACAATGACTCCCTTTCTTTTTTTTTTCTCAGTTTTATGTTAGTCCAATCCAAACAAATCTCCTATTTTTTCTAAGTTTAGATCAATCTGGTCAAAACAGTGAGTTTAGGTTAAGCCAATATCTCATTGGATTTTTGCTATGGTACCATGTAATAATTCCAACTATCATTTTGTAAATGTATAATAAAATGATATTTTCTTTGTAGAAATCTTCTATCATGTATTATATTCAAATATTGAATAAAGAAAAGCAAGCAAGTATATTTAGCTCCGTTATAAACCCACTCATCGCCCTGTCCCTTAAGAAAAACCTTTTTTAGGGTTTTTTGCACCTGTCAGCTGAAAGGAAAGAAAAAAAAAAGATAAAAGGAAGAGTTAGGCTTTTGGTGAAAAAGGGTTTTTATACCCTAGTCAGTTGGGTGTAAGAACACCTGAGATGCACCACAATATAATCCACACATGTTTAATGAAACAGGTGTTGTGACCTAGGGCACTCATGGATGTGGGCTTAAATAAACTAGGCTTGGGCTCACAAGTGTTTGATGCTCATCAACACAATAGAGTTCGCATCTTTGTAGAGGCATGTAGTTGGCAGAATCATTAGGTGCTATCATCTTACCACTCGGTTGCCTACACGTACATCCTTCTAAAGCTCTACTTCGTTCCCTTCTCCCATTCATTTATGATGACGAATTCTTTTTTCCTTCCACTTTTTCTTTCATTATCTCATGAAATTGGTCTTACACCTTATAATAACCTATAGATGATCCAAAAGATATAGTTGGAACTATAAGCAAGTTAAAGGAAGAATTGTTTATCGGCTAGTGCCCCTTTATGGTGATTCTCATTTTTCTTCACTAAAAACAAAAGAATAAAGCCTTAATTTCTCTCTATAGTTTATACTACTTTTCTCTGTTTAATCTTCAATGCATCTTTCTTTCTTCTCTTTCTAATCTTTTGTCTAAAGAGTGGATTTAAAGAGTAAAGTTTCAATTTATTTTTTTTAATTTTAATTTTTGCTTTTTAATTTGTAATTAATTTCAATTTTAATTTTGTTTTATAATTTTCTTTTTCTTTTCATTTTGAAATTGCAAGAAGAGAAGAAAGAATAATATGTTGAAAAAGTGTGTATTTCACATAGATACAACAATTTTTTTCGCCAAACATAAAGTAACCCAATTTTTAGTTTTTTTTTCATTTAAAACATAATGAAGTTAACTTTTGGAAAAAAATAAAAATTCAGCAATAATTTGCTATGAATAAAAAATTTAGGACTAAAATAAAAAAAATTAAAAATTCGAAAACCAAAATGTTTAACTTGCCCTAAGAACATTGTTTCTAAGAAAATAAAATTTACGAATAATATTTAATATATAATTTATACGCACATAAAATATTGCAGAACAGCTACAAAGCTAATTCTTTTCTATTTTTTTATTTTAATTATTATCACATTTTTAAGTTGGCCCAGAAAGACGTGTTCATGGATCTTCATCCGTGTCGGCCCATGAGCCGATCAAGAGCGATTGCAAGGCCGAGCCTGCCCACGTAATTCAGAGCAAGGCAAAAGAGCCATTTGACGACCAGATGAGGATAGAGATGGCCCACCGCGCAGCCCCATTTGTATGCTATCCTGCTTCGGTGTACATTGAGATTTCAGTGGTGGGGGAGCGACAAGGGTTTTTTTTATCCATCTTCAACTAGCTCTCTTAGCTCTCCATCTATCGATTCATCCCATCAAGCTCGTTGATTTGCGGTATTAGAAAATTCGATAATATCTCTCCAGATTTTCATTTCATTGTTATCTCTGTCGTACTCTATCGATCAAATTCTAGGTTATTGGGTTTTTGGGGTTATCGGATTTTTTCTTGCCTTTTTTTGCTTTGTTTTTTTCTCGATATCTTGGTTCTTAATGAGTCACTTATATATATATATATATATATTTTTTTTGTTGGATTCAGCTTTCTTCATGGCTTCGAATTCTCAGAAGGATCTCCCTGCTGGTAAGTTTTCTTCTCCACCGGCTTTCACTGATTCTCTATATGCCCTTTCATTTCATTTCTAGGTCTACCTAGCTTTATAATCAGGTTTATTTCTATGCTTTTTGTACTCCTGGGTATTATTTTGTGTGTTCTATCGGTTACTGTTATATCCTCTTGTACCTAGGTATTTGCTTATAGTGATCAGAGTTGTGCTCGCATGAAAATTATTCTAGCACTGGTTCTATCCGTCATTGTTAAGTAATTAGACTCCTTAAGAGAGTCAACAACATATTTCGGGTTTGGATTTTTTAAATTGACGATAATGACTTCGTCCATCTGAGTAAAATGGTGGTTAATAGCAAGTTGATTTATACTCTTTTCTTATAGTAATAATTTGAAAAACTATTCAGGCCTCAGGTGGTATTCCTTGCGATTTCCTGAGTGGTCTTTTCTTGATTTATCCCTTTACCTTACGCAAATTTAATCATATGCGTTACAAGTATTGGGATCTGTACTCTGTGCATCCATCCAAGATGTAAAGCATATCAAATGGTAGCTTCTGTTTGGAAACAACAAACAATGAAATTTCAATTTTTTTTTTCTGTGGATGAATTGAACAATTATTTCATCAAACAAATGAATTTTAATATTTCAAAGAAGTCATGGACTTTCACAGAATTTAAATGAACCACTACTTTTGACAAGCCAAGATAAAATTGCAAAATGCATTTCAAGCATATTTTCTCAAAACTCTCAGGATCACTTCAAATTTCACCACAGTTGGTAGGATTTGAATTTCATTTTCTTAATTTCATATGGAATTCAAATTCTTTGGTTAGTTGTAATGTTAAAATGGATTTGCAAATGAATTGCACAAATTCTTTTCTGTGGCATTCACCTTTTCCAAACATAGCTTTAGGGATTTTTCATGCCATGATTTCAGGGGTTTGTTTCATTTTTTTAGTGATTATTAATTTGTTATGACCATTTCAGGGAATACAATATGAAGTGTCCACTTGTATATTTTCATCTGAGTTTCAATTTTCTCTTTCAATTTAATTGTTGATTGGAAGTAATAAGATGACAAGTTGTTTCTCATAAGTACTTTATATTTCTTAGATGAGAAAACAAGTGCAGCTGATAAGAATAGTTCAAAACCAGAGGCATCCTCAGGAGAGTCACAGTCAGGATCTAGAAGATCTCCCACTTCACCAGGAGCTGGATTTGCCCCCAATCCATTTGATTTTTCAGCTATGACTGGCCTGCTTAATGTATGTGGTTTTATGCCCTTCTTATTTAGATCCAGTAGTAGCACTATTTTCTGTCGGTGTCAGTGTGTTACTTTCTTTTTCTCTCTAGAAATAGCATTTTCTTACTTCAACCAACCAACCATACCATATGATTATTCATTTTTATCTATTTGGCTTCATCATTCCTGCCTTTGGTATGTCTTCTATTTTGAAATTAGACTCTCATTTCACTTCGAATCTATGCAAGGTCTGTTGGAATTTCAATTCTGTTCTAGCTTTCAGTATTACATGGGTTTTTATTTGGCCAAAATAGGCAAAATACCTATATAGTATTTGAAAATGTTCAAAATAAACTCTTGTACAAAAATTCTATGTTTAATGAAGTCCTATTACTTTTGGAATTTATTCAAATTGACCCTCACTGTTATGGAAAACTAGATGATGGGTAAATAAAAGTGAACACCATCTGAGTTGTTGACGTGGCCACACAAATTTTTTGCTTTAGTTTTTCTTTTTCATGTTTAATCTTTGATCTTTTTGTTTTCCTTTTTTCTTCTTTTTCCTTTCTTCTTTTCCTAACCTTTTCTCTCTCCTCTGCTATTACCTAAAACCTCCATTACTAAGAAACTCTCAAACTCGAACTAATCCAGCCATTACCAGGAACCTCCCTTCATTGAACAACCTCATCCCCTTCATCAGATCCAAAACCCCACCCAATTTCTCCTTTCATCATATCTACTCCCTCCAGAGCTGCTTTCTCCTCCATCATCCAAAACCATCTCATACCACACCACCATTGCAAAAACTATCTCAACCAGGCTGCTACTCCACCGCTGTCGTCACCCAACCTCATCAAGAAACCTTACGCAAGCAAGGAGGTCAACAACACATGATATTTGATCTACCTCAGGGATAAAACCATAATCATTTACCATGGAGTTGAATCATTCTTTTAATAAAGCAATTTGTATCTCCTCACACCTGTTTTCTGTGCAGCCAATGATCGTCACATTAAACACCACTTCATCCGTCATTGGCATTAGTGCGCCGTCTTGGCGCACACAGACAACATTGTTGTTCGAGAATGTATGCATGAGTTATGATCTCTTCGAAAGGCCTTTGTTAGAGAAGTCAACTCTTGGTTTATTGACGACATGGAGGTGGGACTTGAGGGCCGGTTAAATCGGTTATGCGTGGAGTTCTTATAAGTAGAGTTTAAGTAGGATTTCTTGATCATGGCTTCTCAAGATTAGGTTCTCTTTGATACACTCTCTTTTGCCCATCTAAATTTTGTCTTTCTTTTGTTTTATCATATCACCATCATTAGCCACAACAACAAAAGTTGGAGGTGCAATTTGTGGTGGAGAAATGTTAAAGGAAGTGATTGTGAGGTTTACTTGACAAGTGTTAAGAGTATTAGGGCTGATCTACATATGATAATTATGTAGAGGCTAAGAAGGTTTATGATTATTTGTGGCTTGAACATTTTAATTAGAGTAGTTGGCAATGAGCTTTAGGCCTAGGAATTAGGGAGGTAAGGGTGTGATGGAGATCTGGATAGTGAATAGATGCTTGCAAGTATCAATTGAAACAGTAGATATAGGAGTTGAAGTATTGCGTGGTGTTGGGGTGGAAGTATTAGAGTTGTTGAATGTGTGGAAGGAAGAAGAGAGAGGAAAATCCTTCTTGGTTACTTTTTTTTTGAAAGAAAAAGTTAAAATATATTAAAATGGCACCAAAAGGGGTACTGCCCGTATACATAGGAATTTACAGAGATGTAAGGTATCAATGACATCCCCAAAATCTTCATATCTAATGATGTCATGCCCCAATATAAAAGACCCAAAATATTTAAACCACCTTCTTGGTTCCTGCATTTGGAATTTATAAACTCAATGGAAGTGGATGAAAGATGCTTAACAGGTTCATGAGCTTGCAACAAATGTTCAGTTAAACATTTTGATATTTAAACAATGATATGTTTGATGGTAAGTTTCAAAAAAGGCTTACACAAAATTATCTTACCAGAGGCTAACACAAAATTGCAACATGTTGCATCTGCCATGGTGCAGGTCCACGGTTTGAGGCTTAACTGTGGTATACGTTGAGCAGTGAAGAGATATGTGCTCCGGTGATGGTAGGGTCTATCACAGCCGTTTGATTTGTTTGACGAGTTTGAGCGCATCTGAGGTCTCTTTTTATAATGTGGGTTAAGACATTTTCTCTCTCTCTAACTTTCTCTCTCCATAAAAGTTCTCTCTACCTCCTCCGCCTGTTGGGCCTCAGGTCGGCCGTTCTTGGTCATCTAGAACGTCAATTCTAAGTAATGAGTACACTCGGAAGTAGGTATCTAGCTATAGAAAGTAAATCCTACGATTTGGTATGTGAAGGAAGGAAGTTGGAAAGCCTACAAAAGCCTACAAAAGCCTACAAATAACTAAAAATGGACGTGGATTTAGACATTTGATTTTTCTTGACAAAGAAGAGTTCGTGTGGTTCGTTGATGCTATTGAGGAGTACTGGTGGAGAAAAAGACCAGGGACATGGGCAAAGCATTTGGTGAAGGACAAATATGAGTTATGGTTCTCCTTCGGTAAGAATAGAAGAGGAGAATATTCAGGGCTAACAGTAAATTGGAGTAGTAAAGTGAAGAGGATTTTTTTCCTTGGGGGTCTACAAGGGAAGGGATGGTGGAAGCTGTTGGTAGCTGTCTTTGAACTTGTGAATAGACCAGTCAAAAACCCTAGTTGTGGTGCAAGGAGTGGGCGCAAGGTCAAGAAGCCTTCCATCGTTAAGATGGGTCAGTTGGAAAAACCGTGGCAACTGTCTTTTCCATGCCCACACTGTAATGACCTATTTCATGTTTCATTGGAGGGAGGTGCTCCTAAATCCTACACGGCGACGTTGCGCTTGACTGAAGGCGTTGTGAAATAGGTAGGGCAGAGGAAACTTGGTGGGTTGTCGAGTCGGGCTGGCCCGAGAGCCCAATTTTAGAATGACATGTCATAATCGGCTTGTTCAAACGGGCCAAAATAAAAAGAAGATTGGACCAGGTATGATCCCAAAGTACATTTGGAAGGAAAAGGAAAAGTGGTTGGCAAGCCCAGTAATAAAAGATGACATTATAACTTACCCCGACCCGGTTAGGAGCTTCAACCCTATTAGGGGTGAATGCTTGGGAAAAAAGATTGGTAACTCTCCTAGGTAAGCTGATCCATGTGCCAAGGAAGGAATGATAGAGCTGGAGAAAGCGACCGAAGAGGAATTTAGGAGGGTGATTGATTCAAATCATTCAAGTGTGGGAGACGAAGATGAGATGGTCTTTGTGTTTTCTTCAATGGAATAAATTGATAGTGAAGGTAGGTTCGGCCAGATAGTCAACACGAAGAAGAGAAGCTATCGAATATGGAATTGGTGGTTGTTGACGAAGAAGCTCATGCACTCGCATCAAAGTATGATAGCGAAATTGAGGAGATCCTCAAGATAAGTCTAGAAGGGGTGAATATTTCAACGAAGCAAGTGGACTACTGCTCATGGTGTGTGACTAACAACGTACAAAAATTCAGCAAACATATGGGTGTTTCGTTTGAAGGTATGGAACATTTGACTTTCTTATTTTTCTCTGAAATTGAAAAAAGAAAAATTTTAAAGAAAAAATCGGGTGTGAATATCAGAGAAAGGAAGAAGCAGAATGGGGGTGTTTCGAGGGAGTTAAATAGACTTGAGTCCACAATTAACTATGAGAACAAGAGCAAAGGAGGGAAGATCGAGGGTGGGGTGAAGATGATTGACCAATGATAGGAAAAATAATTTCTTGGAATGTCCGTGGTGTAAATGAAAGGGGCAAAAGATTAATTATTCGGGGATGTCGTAATAAATGGAGCCCTACTGTGATCTGTCTACAAGAAACGAAAATGGAAGATTAGTGAGATTATTAAAAGCATTTGGGGTATCAAGGATAGGGGTGGCAGGCCAATGGGATGGTTGGTGGGCTGATTATTATGTGGAGGGAGGATCATGTTCAGTGCATGGATGTTGATAAAGAGAGAGTGTACTTTGTCTTGTACATTTAAAAACAGAAAAGGAGATTTTACCTGGATGTTCACTGGTGTGTATTGCAGGGGCAATAGAATTGAAAAAGATGTACTGTGGAGTGAGCTGGAGGAATACAGAACAAAATGGGATGGGAACTAGGTAAATGGTGATGATTTTAATATGATTATGAGAAGGGAGGAAAGAAATAGTGACAATTTTTTGGCAAAGGAAGCTAGTGAGTTCAAAGAGAGGATGGATAGAGTAGGAGTTGTTGACCTTCCATTATCTAAAGGGTCGTGGACTTGGTCTAACAAAAAATGCAGTTCGAGGATTGATAAGTTCTTTGTGTCTGTTAATTTGATGGTGGAACTGGTTGGACTTAGTCATAAAATGTTATCCAGACTCATTTCTGATCATTTCCCTATCTGTATTGAGGCTGAAGGGATCAAATGGGGCCTTACTCCTTTCCGGTTGGATAACAAATGGTTGGGGAAGGA